CCAAGTCAAGGGCCAAATGTTGCATAGGGAAAGAAAAGTAAATTATAATTTGCTTTGGAGAGGAAAGACTTGAGTAAAGCATTAGAAAAATGTAGTAATTTATTTTCTGGTACAAAATGCACGCCATTTCAGATTCCGATAAGCTAGGTGATGGCATGCTACTCGTCTCTTTCAGAATGCTTTCAGAATACTTCATTAGAGGCCATTTAATGAGCTTGAAAGCAAGTACTTTAAAGTTATTACTCTTTCAAAGAAGTCAGGATTTTAGAGATGAAAAAGGTAGAGAGGTATTTATTTCATATCCAGTTAGTGGTCAACTATGTTTGTCACAGCCTTTGGCCATGCTTTGAACTCATGGAATGATAATATTTGAAGGGGCATATAAAGCCATCGGGTCCAACCCTCCTGCTAAATGCTGGAATCCAAAGTAAAGTGTATCTGATAACTTGAGCCCATAATTACATGTCCTACACATTGGGATTATTGAGAACAGATCCTGCCCTTCCTCTGTAGGACGACCTTTCAAGTGTTTGAAGACTGCTATCATATCTCCCCTCAGTCTTTTTTCAAGACTAAACATGCCTAAGTCTTTCAATCTTTCCTCTTAGGGCTTTCTTTTCCTGTTCCTTGATCAGCCTTGTTGCCCTTCTCTGAACCTGTTTTCCTTAAAATGCACTGCTCTTTAAAACATTATCACAACTGTGATAGATGTTGAGGTGGATAAACACATTGGGAAAACAGCTACCATGTTCTCTAAACTCACAGAGAGTATGCCTTAATAAGAAGCTGACAACATATACCAAGATCCAAGTCTATAGAGCCTGTGTCCTGTACATTCCTGGACCCTTTATGCATGACAGGAGAGGAAGCTGAACACGTTCTATATGCGTTGTCTCTGATGCATTTTTGGCACCACCTGGCAGGACAAAGTTCCAAATAGAGTAGTCCTAGAACGAGTGGGAATTTTTAGCAGGTATACATTACTGAAACAGCATGGTGTGAGAATGGCTGATGGTTGGATTCCAAAAGATCTCCTGTATGGAGAATTAGTGCAGGGAAAGGGCCCCAGAGGGAGGCCACAGGATATCTGCAAGCGGGATCTGAAGACCTTAGGAATGGACCTCAACAGATGGGAAACCCTGACATCTGAGCATTCAGCCTGGAGGCAGGTGGTGCATCATGGCCTCTCCCATTTTGAAGAGACCCTTGTCCAGCAGGCCAAGGTAAAATAGGCAGTCACGAAAGCAGCAAAGCCAGGGAGCTGGACAGGGGACAGATTGTATTTGTCTTCAGTGTGGAAGGGATGGTCATTCTCGAATTGGCCTTCTGAGCCACACTAGATGCTGTTCCAAGACCTCTGTCCAGAGCACGTTACCATAGTTTCTCGAGCCTGAAGTATGCCTACAGAAATGGGAGAGGCATAGTTGGTGGATGGGAGTGATTCCAGTGTCCCATGCCCGCACTCAACGAACTGTCCTCTCCATGTATGGTCTTTTCCAGCAAGCTTTTCTGTGTTTGTTTTTAATGTTGCCATCCTTTTTAAGCTATGGTATTTCTAGCACTTAAGCGGAAAAAAAGCCTGTGATATTGAGCCCTGTGGGGTAGCCACTAAGTTAGAGAATTCCCTCTGCCAGTTTATGGTACCTCCAATTAATATCAAGTGTTCTGTGTTGTGTGGTACATATCGAATAAAGATTGCTGCAATCTTCTTCTGCCTTTTGGGATCCCCAAATAATCTCTAAAATAATGCATTCTGCTCTCTCTTGTAGTATACAGTAATGTGGCCAGTTAAGCTTATAATAAGGTGCTTAAGTTGTGCGTTGTAAATTGCATGCTGTTTATATTCAGCACATTAAACACTAGCTATTCACTGCGCTAGCGCAGCATCGTGTTCACTGGGGAACAGAAACAGCCCCACATAAGTGATAAACAAAGAGATCTTACCGATTTGATTTACCTTTGTACCATTTACCCTACGGTGAGAAAGTCCTCTTAGTATGAGAAATGGCATAATGGTACTCTTAAACTGCAAGGCTATGTTTATTTTTTCCCCCACTGTACTATGTAGTAACCGATTTGTCTTCATCAAAGAGGATTACAGGCACTGTTCAATTATAAATGATACATGCAAATGTTTTCCCCTTTTTTCCTGAGGATCTTCCCCCACCCCACCACGCTGACTTTTCTCTTTAAACACTAAAGCTATAGTGGAGAACTAAATTCTCGCAGTTCTACTCTTGAACAAACCTGCTGAGCTCAGGATAATGCTTAAAGTATGAATAATCTTTTTGTGCATAAGTGCTACGATGTATGTTAGGTGTGCAGTTGGTTTCTTGTAATGATGGGTGAATCCGAAACGAGTCATGGATCAAGCAGGAAAAGAGCTTTGCATTATAAAACTTTTTTAAATGTAGGCTTTACTAAGCAGAAAAATCCAAGCTGCTTCCCCCACACAGCTGTCCCTGAAATATAATAGCTTCCTATTATGGCATTTGAGTGAAAGGCAAAAACACCAATGGAACAAATGGGTGCTGCATCTTTTCTACCATCTTTTCTGGACACAAAGGTCATAAGGCTAAAAGTATGGTGGGAAATATGAAGCAGCATTCTGTAGAAATAGTCTCAGTTGCAATTTCTGTGACCTGAAAAAGCTCCCAGAAAGACCACTGATGCGTGGAAATTGCAGCACGTTATGAACATTTCTCAAAATCTTTGTCAGTATTAAGCCTGTAACATTCTAACTGTTGTGTGTTAGCATGCTCCACAAAACGGAGGAAAGGCCCATCTCTGTATTTATTTGCCACGCAGCCAGCTGGGATTATTCATCTCTTTCTGGCTTCCTACCTTTTGTTTGCATAGGTCTGCCACTCATCAACAGAAGTGAGAAAAACACTTTTTGAAAACAGGGAAATGAGTGTGAAAGCTGCAAAAAGTGACTAGGCTGGCTGTAAGCTGTGTCTGAGACTGGTTCTGGCTTGGTTTTTGTGTGTTTGTGTGTGTGTGTGTGTTGTCATCCTCTGTCTCTTTGCACATGACAATAATAGGGAGGAAACAGTAAAATTAATGACAGTGGTCATCATTCTGTAGTTAGCTTGGATGAACTACATATTACACATTTTATGTGCTAACAAAATTTACTGCATTTCTCAGTAGGAAAGCTACTTTGAGAGGACGCAATTTGTAATGGAGAAGGGAGAAGAGAGTCTAATCTTAGATTTGCCAGCAATGTTTCTGTTGTGTGTCTACTTTTCCCAAATGTCAAGGCTCTGGATGTTTGATGGACCTCACATACATGTCTGAATACCTTTGGAGAAGGGTTTGTCATAAAGGGGGAGGGGGGGAAGGGGGGGAGAAGGGTTTAACGTCCTGAAATTGTTTCCTTTGTTAAAAGGCAGAAAGTCAGTCAGATATTTTTTACGCATGCTCAGTATGTTTTCCTCAATGTGTTTCTATATCTTCATCATGCTTTATTTGGACGCTTGCAAAGGCATATAATTATACTGATTTTTACCAACCCAGAAGCAACCTTTGTGTGTGGTATGTGGGTTCAAGATATTTTGTTTTGTTACATGTGTGTGTGTTTTTTGTTAACGTGTGGGAAACAGGGCAAGATAAGAAAAGCAACACCTTTCAGTTACATGCATTGAAGCTTCAGTGGGCCTGCAGATTTTCTTCCATATACATGGTGCCGCCCCTGTTCTGAAATGCAGGGGAATGCCAGCTTCTGTGGGAACTTAATTATGCTCTTCATAAAGGACTATGTGAGCAAACATATGCACCAGGCATTGTAAATTAAAATTCGTCTAGACTCCTTGAAAGACGCATTATTGGTCCCCTTTCAGATGGGTTCTTAATTAAAATTCGTCTAGACTCCTTGAAAGATGCATTATTGGTCCTCTTTCAGATGGGTAGAATATACCAGATGGGTGGGATATAAATCGAATAAATAAATAAATAAATAAAATAAAAATTCATATTCCAAACCCATTTTGCACCTGGGTCTGCTTAGTGGACCTCAGTATTCCTGTACATAGAAAAAAAACAGAGAGGGGGGCAGAAGCTCTGAACCGGCCCAGTGTTGCACCAAACTATTGCTGAAGTTTGTGGATTGACAATGGGCACATGCAGGCATTTGTCAGTATCCAACTCTATCATTGTTCTCACATAAGGCCCATTTTCAGAGTTAGCATAGAAGTGTTGTCCAGTACCATTTGGATTGCATGAACTGGTTGTGCAAGTGCTTGTGCAGTGCTGTGCTTGTCTCTAGCCTTTCATTGGATTGGGGCCATATACTGTAGTGTTATTTTGGAACACCCAACCGCTAAAATCAAACATATAAATTAATTTGCTCTGAGATTTTTACATTGTAGATTTAACTTTGATCGCCATTGTGGGATTGCCAATATATAGTGGATTGCCGTTATTGCTACTTGGATTGCTTCTACCTGTTCTATCTACTGTATAACACTTATGGCAATTTCAATGAAAAAAAACATGTAAACTGAGTTACGGTGGAAGGCCAGAAATTTGTTCTGCCAATGCAGAAGATTAAGTAAAGATAAATGAAATTGATGCAAATTATAAAAGGCTGTTGAAACCTAGACCTGTCCTTGGTTGAACTCCCTGTTTTATCCTTTCTAAGTCTCTTGTCTGAAAGTGTGATTGTTCCATGATATCTTGGTATTTTTATATTTATCCAAGGCATTTTTGTCTGTAGCAGTTGGGAAAAAAAGCAATCAGAGCTATTTTTTTTTCTCAGTAGTTATGATGCTGCCCTTAAAGTTTTAATGTCTTCTGGGGTCTTCTCCACCAGCTTTATGATATTATACATATTAAGTATTCATTGTTTGTTGACAACATTTTAAAAATACAGTACAAGGACTAAACAGCTCATTAGATAACATTTTTCATCTTCCTTTCATTTAGAAGCTTAAATTTGGGCTTTTTTGTGAGTCTGGTGGTAGAACAGATTTAACCAATCATGCGTCCTTTACCTACAGGTCAATCAGAGGGACAATCCAGCACTGGAACCTATTATCCATGGGCTGAAGGGTGTCGTACATCATGGTAAGTAGCTACTTAAAGTTCTCTTGTGTTGGGAAAAGTAGAAGTCCTAGAATATCACCCTTAATGGAATGGGTCACCCTTTCAAAGGACATATGGAGAAATATTTTTCATGCACTGATGTTTAAGGGCAGTGAAGCTATTATTTGGTTAGTATAAAGCCCAAGCTCATTTATTACCTGCAAGCAGATTTGGGGTAATATTAGGAAAGAAGGATTTTTAGAATTTTGATCTGTATTTATTGTTAATCATGTTTTTTTTCTTTTTAAAAACGCTCAGTTTTAATGTTACAGCTTGTTATATTGCATGAGTTTTTATATAGTGCAACATATTTTCTGCTTGCTTAATATATCCTTTAAATTTTTCTATTTGTCTATAAATTGTTTGTCTTTCAAATTTAGGGAGTTGGCAGTGAAACTGAAAATTAACTGTCTGTGAAAATTAATTAAAGTTTACGGCAGGAGAATATCAAAGCATCCTATAATAATGGAGTTACTTAGAGCAGATACTGAAATATATTATATCTTAAATTTTTGAAGAAGTTTTTATAGAGATTTTTTTCCTGAAGCCTTATCACTGGTAATGCACCATTAGTAATTACAGTGAATCAGTCTAATTTCAAAAGAACCCTTGTCAGATTTTTAATGTAATGATTGGTAAAGTTTTAATAATCTCATTGTAATTCTCAATGCATCTGCTGGAACAGCGTTAGGTACCCTAATAAATCTTAGTGCCATCTATAAAACATCTTCACACCTTTTTCTAGGGGATTGTCTTTAAACATTAGCTAGTGCTGTGAAGCTTAACAAACATTTTTTTCTCCTGACTGGAAACCTAAAACCGGTTGACAGTGTTAGATTAAAACAAATAGGATTCTGAATTAATTGCTCTGCTTTCAGAGTCATTTAATGTTGCAGCTGTGAACGCCAATAAATCTAGCAGAAGAGAAAAATAGGGGTTAAATGATAACATACTGCAAAGTCTGTCATTTAGAGAATTTTCCATAGGTTTGTTGCCATTTATAAATTGCAGTGTTCGGTAGCGAACTAAAACCTGCACACTGAGCTGAAAACCATGTTGGTTTCCACTGAAATAGATGTTATTATCTCGTTCCTACTGGGCAATGGAAGACTCTGGCTTGGAACGAAACAAAATAAAATAAAGCAAAAGAGAATTGAGTTGTTGTGGTAATTGCATAATTTGACACTGAAGTCAAACCTTCCATTTAAGTGATCCAGAGTATTTCCTGGACTTTCAATGCACCCGATCTGTATCTCAAGCACTCAAACCCTCAAGGATGATTGAAGCTATCCCATTCCATTTCCATCTGCTGTTGGAATACCTGCTGGCATCTAATCATACTTGTATTTTGCAGGTGTACTTCATCCTCATTCACACAAAAAATATTTGTCTAGGACATAGTGATGTGCTTTCCTACTATGTCTTTCCCTTCCCACATAATAATAATTTGTCAGCCTTGGAGTTGACTGCACACAGCAGTATATGAGTGGGAGAGAAATATATATTTTATTTCCCTCACAACAGGTGTCCCGATTTCAGGTGGAACAGACGAATAGATGTGCTTTAGACACCTGCTTCCTAATATAAATCTGAAAATGGGATAGAAGGAAACTCTCAGCTTTATTCATAATATTTGGCACTGGTTAATTTTCTCTTTTCCATGGCTGCAGGATGGCATCGAAAGGATATGTACCCTGGCTTGCTTGAGAAACTTTTTTTTGTTCCTTCTTCAGATTTGTACGTGGACCTCTATAACAAATTGACCTAAAAAGAACAACATACCGTATTTTTCGCTCCATAAGACGCTCCGGAACTTAAGACGCACCTAATTTTTAGAGGAGGGAAACTGGAAAAAAATATTCTGAACCAAATATTGTAATAAAATATTTAATAAACTATAACAGAATAACATTTGAACCATGTAAAGTGAACAGCATTCAACAGTGGCATTAAGAACCATTACCACTGTCATTAATAAATGGAGAGACTTAAAGCTTTGTGTACTCTAGTTTTCTGGAAACCCCAAGAACTCACCATCACTAGGGTCAGAATTTAGGAAGCTCATTTGCTCACAATCACTGACATCACTTTCTTCGCTGTCTTCATATAAGATATTGTCCTCAGTTCCATCTAAGGCATTGCTAATGCCACATTTTTTGAATGACTGTACAACAGTCTCCTCCTTCACTGAGTCCCAAGATGTTTTCACCCATTCACAAACTTGAGTGATGGTGGGCCTCTTCATTCGTCCAGTAGGTGTCAGATCATGATTACCAGCAGTCATCCATTTGTTCCACTCTTCTCTCATTAAGACCTTAAATGGCTTGTTGATGGAAACATCAAGAGGTTGCAACTGGCTGGTAAGACCTCCGGGAATTACAGCTAGATGAGTCTTCACTTCTTTGAAACATTTTT